TCTTCAATCTAGTTGTGGAGGACGTTGCTTCACTGGCCCAAGTTGGCACCATCATTGCGCTCTTCCCGGGCGAGGCAGATCAGTCGCCGGCCTCTGGACAGCCGCTCACTGCAGCTGCTGGCCTGCCGGCTACACACGGTAGCATATGGCAGCCCACTGCAGCAGGGGTTGCAGCCTACGCCGTCGCTGGCAACTCACGGCAACCCAGCTCCAGGTTGAGCTGTTGTTCAGCATCTTAGCTGTAGAGGGCAGTGTCACTGGCCCTAATATGTGGGCTCCGAATCGGGGCCCTCTGGCATCCCAAGCCAGTTCTTAACCAACGCGTCACTCGACCGGCCCTACAGGGTGCCAATTTTTTAAATGATTTTGCAATTAATTCAGCAGTACATGCATGTAGTATCACTAAGCTTAACACCTAGTTAGGAAGAATAATTAGTTAAAATAGGAAGCTACCAGATGGTAAATATCATCAATAACACCCATATGTGAGCCAAGACATGAATTACAAAGTTAATTTGAGGGCATATTTTCTGCTTACCCCAGCATCAAAATTGCTAGTTACAGCTCTGCCTAGAAGTTCCATTCTACACAATAATTTCTGATGGCAGGTCTATTCACTTTATTATGTATGGAGTTGAGAAGGTAGAAAATATATTCACATTAGTAAGTTATGGGAAGGTTAGATTATGGACCTACCTTTCTATATTTGTCCTGCTAATTGGAAAGTTGAGATTTGAGGCTCAGCTAAGAGAGATTACAGCTTTACTTACCAATGGTGACCGACAGCGATCAAGGAAATACACCAGATAGGAGAAATGTGTACACCTGCAGGCACAGCCACCTGCAGTGCCTTTGCTTGTAGGATTTGCAGCCATATGGAGGACCTTCTGGGAGAGAAACTGTGAACTACTCTGGATAGACAATACTGAGATGGCCCCAGACCTCCCAAAGATGTGGGTGTTTTACCATGTCTCCAACATGGTACATCAGCCTGAAGTTTTAGCCATGGAGGTGTTAGCCCATGATGTTTTTTACTGCAGGAAATAAAAAAATTAAAAGATGGCTCCCTGTTTACGTAGCTTGCAACATTCAGGGCTCCAGACTTTCCTTCATCATTATCTAATCGAATATTTCTTTTTGTCCAAAGTCCTTGGCCAGACTCAGAGTATGAAGCTCAGAGGTCAGTCATCAACCATCCTATTTCCTTCCCCTTCTTTGCCCCGTGCTTCTTTCAAGGACCCTCAGTCTCATTTCTCAGAGATTTGAAGCATATGCTAAGGGGTCAGGGTCACACCATCCCACAGCTTCTTGTCCACCCCTGTGGGTCTCACAAAAATCCAGCTGGCATTGGTGCTGAAGTGAAGACCACATGGTGTGTCACCAGACTTTCCCACTCTGCCACCCATCAGCTGTGGGGGCTTACACTCCTTGCCAGTACAGTGGGAAGAGCATCAGTGGCCATATCAACTCTAAAATGTGAAGATGGAACTTCAGAAAGTCTTGTTACTGAGTGCTAGCAGGCAAAACGTTCCAAATCCCTCCTTTGCTAATAGAATCATTTCAGTCTCCTCCTTGCCACATCCTCCAGGTGCCCCATTGTTTGATTGCAAAGACTTTTCTTTTAAATGCGCTAAGGGTCATTAACCACTGAGGTTTCTATTTCAGTTGCAGCAAAAAAATGTAATCAACGAGGAAGCCACCCATGTTAAGAGGATCAAGGCAGGTCCCCAGATCCATTAGCACTTCAGTCTGATGTCTTATAGATAAAAAAAAAATCAGGCTACTCTGGTATCACTTTGTCTTCAGGTGTGAGGGGTAGGAAAAGAATAAACTTGTTAGCCAAAGAAATCTTGAATGGATAGGGTGGGAGACATAAGCTGAAATGATGCAATTGCATGTCTGTAGGCCATCTGTGTGTTTCTAGGGAAATTATGACTGAGAAATCATTACAAGGAAGACAGTGTGACACTAAAGTACCTCTCTTGAAATCAGGTCCCATGTAAACCAACACTTGGGGGAAATGCCACAATCTCCCTTGCACGAGCCAGTGTATTTGTTTTCCATGGTTACTATGACAAATCGCCATGTTAAAATAAAGCAAAATTTTTTGTAACCATGCATAATGATAGATGTTAACTAGGCTTATTGTGGTAATCCTTTCATAATATATATAAATATCAAATAATCGTGTACATGTGAAACCAATATAATATGTCAATTGTATGTAAATTTAAAAAAAAAAGAACATTATCTTACCATTCTGGAGGTCACAAGTCTTAAAATGTGTCTGCGGTGTTGTGTTCCTTCTAAAGGCTCTAGGGGAGACTGTTTCCTTGACTTTTTCATCTTCTAGAGCTTTTCCACCTCCCTTGGCTTGTGAACCCTTTCCTACATCTTCAAAGTCAGCAGTGTAACATCTTCAAATCTCTCTCTGACCTTCCTGTTTCCTTCTTGTAAAAACCCTTGTGATTATATTGGGCCCACTGGAGTAACCTCGGATAATCTCCTAATGTCAGAATCCTTAATTTAAGCACATCTGCAAAAATCCCTTGTAAAGTAACATATTTACAGCTTGGGGATTAGAACATGGCCATTTGGGGGGGGCCATTATTTTAGCATACCACATCAAGGATGTGAAAGATATTTTTCTTCCCATGGTGACTTTTGGGTCCAATTGGCATGCAGGTAAATCTCTCCAGTGATAGCTACTGCCGCCATGGCTTGCATTTCTCCTTTCATTTTCCTGGCTTATACAAAGCTAACTAAGTGAGCATTAATCATATAAACAGGTCCTATCTCATGGGCTATATTCAGCACCAACTCTTATTTTTAATCTAAGACAACGGCAGCAAAGCTGTTGATGTCGAGTCACAAAATGTTAGGATTTGAAGGGTTCTGAGACATCACATAATCCAATCCTCTTCATTTTGTTTACACATGAGGAGAATGAGGTGAAGAGAGACCAAAGTGACGCACCAGGACCAACGAGTTAGTGACACGAAAAATGAACACCTGTTTACTAGTTCTCATCACATCACTGGGATTGCAAATAAGTTTGGAGTTAGCCACTGATTATCTGATCTTGTCATCCCCACCCCACCCCGATATTGGGTAAATAAGGTTATATTTAAAAAATAAGAAAAATAAAAGTAAAATCCATGCAGTTCACTGATCTTGGGTAACCACTGTTGACCAATATTGCTAATGTAGAAAGCGACAGAATAATAGCAAATGGATTTAAATCTCAGGGTGAAGAAACTTTTTTCTTAGTGGGTTCAGAAATGTGGTCTAAGAAATATGGCTGAAATGAGTGTGGAGGGAAATATCTAGTTTCCTTGTGTTTTCTTTAAAGATTTTATTGGGGAATTGGGGGAAAGAAACAGTGTTGGGGAATTGGGGAAGGGGAACAGACAACTTGCTGTCCTTTTGTTCTTCAGTCTAGTTGTGAAGGACATTGCTTCACTGGCCCATGTTGGTATTTTGATCATTGTGCTCTTCCCGGGAGAGGCAGATTGCTCGCCGGCCTCTGGACAGTCGCTCACGGCGGCTCACGGCAGTTCACGCCGGCTGCTGGCCACTCATGGTAGCTCATAGCAGCCCACTGCAGCTTCACTGCAGCCTCCGCCACCATCGCCAGCGACTCTCAGCAGCCCAGCTCCAGGTGGAGCTGTTTTTCACCATTTTAGCTGTAGAGGTCACTGGCCCTCATGTGGGATCGGAACTGGGGCCCTGCTGCTCAGAGCTGGCGTCCCAAGCCAACTCAACCAATGCGCCACTCAGCCGACCCGGTTTTCTCTTTTTAATGCTTGTTTTTCTTCAAAATTTATGGAAAAGAACTTGTTGAGGGCACACTGTGTGTGAAATATTGTCCTAGGTTCAGAGAAAAAGACAACAAAAGAAGGTTTTATTGAAATTTATTTTTTACCATTTGAATTTCTCAAACTCCCGAAAATACAGAGAAAAAAACTTTAAATTTTAAAACATAATAATCTCAAAGTTGCCTAAGTAGGGCAATGAATGAGAATAATTGCATATGTGGCACATTAAAAATATGAAATGGGGCCGGCCAAGTGACTCAGCTGGTTAAGAGCTCACTCAAGAATGTGAGCTCTGAGCAACAAGGTCACCGGTTCGATTCACGGCCCGAGCTGAGCTGCCACTGAGCACTGAGCTGCCAACAGGTGACAGGATGACTCAGCTAAACATATATATATATATATGAAATGCAGTTCAAATCCTATTAAATTTCTTGTGGATGGGAACCTATTTCCCTGCTTATGCTGAATTGTTTAATCTGCCAAAATTAGACCAGCCAAAGTACTTAAGCATGGTTAAAGGGTGGAAATACAGAATCTGGACAAATCCCCATGCAAACAGGATAATGAAATGTCAACCTTTGCACGTGCCCGAGCCCTGAGCCATTTGGGGTCATAGTTCTCTCAGGCCCGGTTTGCTGATTTATGGCTTATTGTTCCTATGGTATTTGTTAAACCAGTTTCTCCCATACCATAAATTACCTCAAAGGAGCAAGGCAGTTTGCTTTGGAAAACAAATGAATGCTTTCAGGTCGTTTGGTATCTTGTGATATAGTTCATTTGGAACTATATTATGGAGTATGGAACTATTTAGAAAAATTAGTAAACTAGAGATGATGTACATAATGTGACTCAGGGAATCACATTTTTAACTTCTTTGTAGCCCTGACATCACTGGAAAGCAGATTAAGCAGAAAGAGGAGAGGAGAGAGATGGTGTGGGAAAGGGTGTTTCTGAGATGAGTCGGAGGTGGTGGGTAAGAATTTAAACACCTTGAAAGCCCAAATTGGTTTCAGATCATAATTCCTACAACCTGCAAAGGTCTGAGGTTTCTGCAGAGAACTGATGGATGGTAGTTGTCATCTTGTCATGACCAAGTCAGGCTTCAAGATTGACTGGTCAGCCAAGCAATTTGGATGTATTTGGGCCCCTGGCTCAGAAATTGCACAAAGTAAGATGGCAGCAGTGAGAGGTCTGAACTTGGTAATGTGTCACAGTTCTCTTGAAGCACTCCTCCTGGGACTCTGTGCAGCCTTTAACTGAAAACCAGTAAATTCCACCTGAGGGAAACAAAAGAGGAAGAGGCAGAGAAATCCCTTGGGAGGTGCAACCTACCTGGCCTCAGATGCTTCAGGTAACTAACAGGTTAAAAAGACAAATACAAAACAAAATTCTAGGTTTACCGAGATAACTATCATCTTGCTTTTAAGAGCTCCCACCTAAAAAGTATTCTAGTTGGGTACATTGCATTGCAAAAGGTTTGAAATTATAAAACAAAATAGCTTTCAAACTCAGATGATAAAAGCCATGCAATTACCATTGACGATGTAGAAGTGTTTGAATTGTTAGCTGTTCGGAAGCTTTCTAATACCATTCCCAAGTTTAACTCAGGTCGTGAGTTATTCACAGGGCTGAATCCACAGAAGGATCATTTAGATATGTGTTTCTTGAAGTGGAGGTGTGTTCTTGATGTTACTTAGTTTTTCCTCTGATTATAGAAGTAATTCATGTTCACTGTAGGAAATGTGTACAACACTCACAAGTGCAAAGTAAGTGACATCAGTGTCCTGTAAGCCTGGCGTCCCAGCCTTGGTTGTATAAGGGAGAATGCAGAGGAGGAATTGCCCGAAGGCAGCAAATCGTATGATGGTGGGAAACTTGAGCCAACAGTAGTCTGTCTACTGGGGGTGAATTTCTTCCTCTACCCCAGGTCAGTAGATAATGCCCAGGTACATTTTTTAAATTGAATTTATTGAGGTGACAATGGTTAATAAAATTACATAGGTTTCAGGCATACAATTCTATAATACATCATCTATTAATATACAATAAAACCTTGGATTGCAAGTAACGTGGTTTGTGAGTGTTCCACAAGACAAGCAAACATTTCTAATACATTTTAATGTGGTAAACAAGCGAAGTCTTGCCATACGAGTACTGTAGTTTGTTTCCGGAATGAATTATGCTCGCAGACCAAGGCATTACTGTATATCACATTGTGTGCTCACCACCCAGAATCAGTTCCTCAGAGACATTTTTGTTGTTTCAACTTGGAAGGTATTACTGGCACAGAGTGGGTAGAGGCCAGGGATGTGCTAAATATCCTACAATCCATAAGACAGCCCTGTGTAACAAAGAATTACCCTGCCAGTGTCAACAGTGTCAAAGATGAGAAACCCTGTTGATAAAACTATGAAAAACCCAGGGGCCGGCCGAGTGGTGCGTTGGTTGGGAGCTGGCTTGGGATGCCAGAGGGCCCCGGTTCGGATCCCACATAGGAGGGCCAGTGACACTGCCCTCTAAAA